GCTGGGTCGGCGCGGGCGGTTCCGGGCGAGTCAGGGTGGAGCGCGTAAGGGAATTCCTGGGCGAGTTAGGGTGTAATGTGTTAAATAACCTAATAGTGTTGATAGGGGCGTTAAACCCATACCATTTTTTGGGGGGCTGGGTCAGAAGCCCACTTCTTTAATTGTCGAAATTGTGCCAGTGGCGTAAAAAGCCCGGAGTTAAATACCCGAGTAGGGAGATTTTTGTCTTACCTTGGTCTTATAAATATAATATAATACACTCTATCATACATCTTTATCTTACCTTGGTCTTTGTGCTGGGATGTTGTATCTGTCTCAGCCGGGTTGGCCCTGACAGGCAGGGTCGAAGCCCGCCACCAAAATGATCTAAGTTATAACGATGGAGGCTTTAAAAAAATATGTATAGTATTTTTTAAAATTGATTTGACTGATACAGTTTTGATCTCAATAATACTTGTATGATAAAGCAAAACCAACTTATTTATGTGTGGATGGTCGGTGGGCTTTGTGATGTGGTGTGCTCCTTCTTTCCTGTCAAACGTCTATTGTCCTGAACTCTCTTTTCTTTGTGTCTGTGGGTGGTTGAAGGGTGCCACTGGTAGATCTTACTTCTTTTCTTTCCCTCTGTTGCTCAATCTATCTTACTTCTTCTTTGCACTAAATGACTGTTATGGTGTGCTACTCTTTACTCAAACTCAAAACTGTGTATCTTACCCTCTAGTGATGTGGGTGGTTGGCGGGTGCTCTGGTGTGGTTCGCTCCTTCTTTCCTATAAAAAATCTATCGTATCTATCTCCCCTCCTTCTTTTTTGTGTTTGTTACTCTCTTGTAATACCTCTAATCTTCTGGCGCTCAAATGACCTTATGCAGTTGCGAGTGCCGTAAAACACTTACTAAAACTAAAACTAACTCTGTAGTAACACCTCTAATCTCCTGCACTTACATGACCTATTTGTGTTGCAAGAGCCATAAAACTTTCGTGAAATAGTAAAACTTCATTTTGAAAAAAAAATACAACAAAACCTTGGGGTTGGTTTGCAAGTAGGCCTACTCTAGTGTGGTTTGCTCTTTCTTTCCTATCTAACATCTATCGTCATTACCTACCCTCCTTTTATTTTGTGTTTGTTACTCTCTTGTAACACCTCTAATCTTCGGCACTTATATGACCTTATTGTGTTGCAAGTGCCGTAAAACTCTTTACTAAAACTAAACTCTCTTGTAACTCCTCTAATCTTAGACACTTTTATAACCTTACTGTGTTTCAAGTGCCGTAAAGCGCATACTAGTGGGTGGTTGGCGGATTCTCTGGTGTGATTTGCTCCTGCTTTCCTACCAAACGTCTATCATCCTAGTCTCTCCTTTTTTTGTTTGTTACTTTCTTGTAACACCTCTTATCTTCAGCTCTTATTGTGTTGCAAGTGCCGTAAAACTTACAAAAAACCCCCGCCGCATACGTAAACCAAACTTAAAAAAAACTTTTGTTTTTTCCTCCTCAGCCAAACAACGCCATGAGGCCGTTCTACCCACAGGAGCCAATGTATGGCCAGCCAGGGCCGCCTCAGATGTGGCCGTACGGCCCCTCGGGACCCCAGAACCCGTACGTGTACACGCAGCAACCCCCACAGCAGCGACCCCGTATGGTGGGCGGCATGGGCAATTCCAAGATGGTGCTCTCCAATATGTTGTACAAGCGGTCTATGAACAACAGCCAGGGAACCTATCTCACACCTCCCGTAAGTTCTTGTCTGTCTGTCTGTCTGTGTGTGTGTGTGTGTGTGTGTGTGTGTCTCTCCAATATGTTGTACAAGCGGTCTATGAACAACAGCCAGGGAACCTATCTCACACCTCCCGTAAGTTCTTGTCTGTCTGTGTGTGTGTGTGTGTGTCTCTCCAATATGTTGTACAAGCGGTCTATGAACAACAGCCAGGGAAC